TGTCCACTAAAAGAAATTTTTAAACTAAAATCCGTGTAAATATTAAGTGTGTTTTCAATTCCCCCCCGGCCAGTGTTGTGTCCCGGCGATGACTGTCTAAAATTAATTCCTTTGTGCGGGGCCCGGGTCCCTTGTTCCCCCCCCCCCCCCCAGGTTCTGCGTTTGGCCCATACACTGAGGAGGCTGTGATCACAATCTCTGCTTAGGGTCGGACCCTTGAGCCTGATGTAGATCGATTCCTTTACTCCTCGTTCAAACCACGTACTAGGTTCTACAGTCAGTTGAGGTAGAAAGCGACGAATATTTTTTCAATTTTATCCGGATTTTAATCATAGTATCGTACTCACGTAATGAGGGAAAACTCGTCTCCAAAACCCCAGCCCTTCCTTTGTTTTGTCATTCACGCTCCCCGCACGTGTTCCCCCTACATATCCCCACATAGCCGTATATAGCCTTACATAGCCGTACATAACCCTACATAGCCGTACATAGGCCTGCATACCCCCACATAGCACTACATAACACTACATAGGCCTACCTACTGTAGCCATGCACTAAGGAGAACGTCGTACACTAACCCAGTCTCGACGTTTGCTTGGCACGTTCAGGGATGGCTACAATAATTTGAAGCCATATGGCTTTCCTTTTCATGGTGCTGGGGACGGTTTCAGTCGTAGACTCTGGGTTGAAAATTTGGCCCTCAAACAATGACCCATGCCACGTGGCTTCATTATTCCACGATTGTGTTAATCAAACCCACGCTGAAAATAATAATGTATGAGAGCCTCCTCATTGTCTACGGCTGCTCCACATCTAGAGCAGTATTGGTGAGTTTCCCCGAGCTCTTCTGAGTAGTTAAAGCCCTTAAAAAACACATCCATTAACATTCTGACCAGATGGCGGAATTTCATTTTAAAAAATGTACGATTTAAATTTAACGACACTTAATTTTGGTGCATTTTAATTGAGCGAAATTCGTTAAATTAAAGTGTCGCCAAAATTTCATGTAATTAGGTAACCTTTTGACAAGAAATTGATTTCATACGTAACAAAATTGTTTACTATGCTCCAGTTAATTAACAGAATTAATACAGTATTCTCCTGAGGTTCTCTATAGTTTTCCATACGGATTTCTACCAGTTAAGATTTAAAAAAGAAGATTTGAAGCCTTTTGATTTAAGCGGTAAGATATGCCAGCATCTTCCTTTCACCGGAAAATCCAATTCTTCCATGTTGGGCAGCAACGTTATCGATCACCAACAAATCACCGCATTTCCACTTGAATCCAACGGCGCATGTCCAAGATTGTGCTCTTATATGCTGTATCACCTCTGGTTCGATCTCACTTCCGTCGCCGTAATAACTGTGGTACGGCCATTTCCCGTTCAAGATGTCGGTGTCGTTAAATGTTGGCATCGAATCCACACACGAATTGTGGTGCCCCGTAACTAGATTAAACCAGTATTTTTCTCCCGTCACAGGGTGCGGTATGAAAGCAGGTCGGATAAGCGATAAATACAGATCCCCGTTTTCATCCCAGTGGATATCGTTGCCTTGTTGTTTAGCTATATCTTCCACTTTCTAGAAGAGTAAGAAAGAAAGTCAAAAACAGCATTGTACCTTGCTGGCATTCCCACATCCCATTGTCAAGTGCTAGTTCGTCAGTGGGAACGAGCTGCGAGTCATTTTTGGCGCCCAAACGTTAGTAAACGGACGGAGAATAACTGGGAACTAAATCGAGTCTTAAAATGTNCAGGGTGCGGTATGAAAGCAGGTCGGATAAGCGATAAATACAGATCCCCGTTTTCATCCCAGTGGATATCGTTGCCTTGTTGTTTAGCTATATCTTCCACTTTCTAGAAGAGTAAGAAAGAAAGTCAAAAACAGCATTGTACCTTGCTGGCATTCCCACATCCCATTGTCAAGTGCTAGTTCGTCAGTGGGAACGAGCTGCGAGTCATTTTTGGCGCCCAAACGTTAGTAAACGGACGGAGAATAACTGGGAACTAAATCGAGTCTTAAAATGTGAATGAAATTTGCCCTGTTTCCTGACGAACCATTACGTGATTACCTGTCAGTAGGGGAAAGGTAGAGTGCTGGGTAGACAGCGACAACAACAAGAACTTCAAAAAAGCAATAGGTTTAAAAGCCAAAACAACAATTCTGCCAAGAACGGAAAGTTGTTCCGCCTTCTAGGACGTTCCTGGTGCAAGGATATTCGTCCCTCCATGAAAACAGCCGGAAAGAAGCAAAACGCTGATATGCATGTTTGTATCCAACCAACTGAGATGAACATAATAAAATTGAACATGTGTTTTGGTCAGCGGAATTAGTCTCTGCTATTTTTAAGCTAATATTAGGTAGTGTAATTTCTGAACACCCTCCTTACCGAGATAAAATTAAAACAAAGAGTCAAACTCTAGCAATCAATACAGCGTATAGCGCCGGTACCTTTCTATCCTTTGTCATAAAACCATCTTGCCACGATATATAGTTCTTG